GTCATAGGAATTGCACCTCTCCAATGTCAATGCCATCCTGAATCTGCCAGAACTGTCCTCGTTAGGCCAACTCCACCATCAGTCCTTCTCTCAGGCAGTTACTAGAGACAGAGACACCATGGAACTGGACTGCCATGTCAGGAGGCCATACAACAGCCAAATGCCATCTGTAAACTGTTGGTGCATTGCCCTCACATGTAAACATTTTGCTCCCCCCATGGCAGGCCAACCCATGAACTGGACTCGCATGTGAAGAATGATCTCTCGTGCATTGGTCTGGGAAACTGTGCAGTAACCCCAACATCCCTATAAGGACATATGCCATTAAGTGCAATCAAGAGGCACCTTAGAATGGTAAAACATGCTGTATGTGCTCGTTTATGGTGGCTGGGGATTGACTGTGAGATAGTGGTATTTGTGCACCATGCTTGATCAGCTCCACCTCCTATGCAACCCTTTTACTGTCCATCAAAGCCCAGGGATCATCTTCAAATGTAATGTGTGTGGAGCTGTGCTATGTCCCTCACAACCAACGCTTCTTAGTCATGGTCTATGACCTAGCTACAGTACACTAACTAACCTCTTAAGTAGCCTGAGGTCACACTCACAGGTTATGTCACCCTCCACATTTCCTGCTGGGCGTGCCCCAGTCTGTAATTAATGCCAACCACCCAGTTAATATTGGCTTAATTATCATCCTACCCGACATCCAAAGGAATATAAATAAATATGTAGGACGTGGCCTGCAAGATCTTTTGCCACATTGTACATAAAAAACTCCAACCACAGGCCAATTAGGCATTGTAAAGATCTAAAGGCAAGTCTTTGTGAGAGCCCTATCACAGACTTTCCTTCACAATCAGACAACCAACCATTCCACTACTGGAGTATCCCCAGATAGCATTCCAGTTAGCCAATGGGTCTTGTTGGCATGTAAGCCATCTGCTGACTGCCTATAGTATTTATTAGGATCTCCATTTCTCTTCCTTGGATCCAAACTGGATTCTAACAATTACATCACAACAAAACAGCAGCCTACATAAAAAATAAAACAATACATACAATACATTATTACTCTATTATTACAAATGTACAATATACAATTTACAGTTCTACAATATTACAATGTCTTTGTGTGTAGAGTGCGTGTGTTAGAGTGTGTGAGCGTGTGTGTGTTTCAGGGTTTCCGTTAGGAAAATGTGGAGCCAGACAACGTGACCGGGAAGATTTTAATTTACCAGTCATTTGAGAAATGTACCGGACCCATACGCATTGGGGGCATCACCCATTAGGGTGTTGTCCACCTGATGGGGAATGTGTGAGAGAAAGATCACATATTTACCTGATTTGTTTAAAATTAATAGTTAACAATTAATAATATGCTTAAAAATATTAGAGACATTTCTTAACTACCAATGCTGTGCTTTTCGTTAGGATGGTTCCCTCTAGCTCCCTGCAGCTGGTCTGGGTGTGTAGTTAAGGACATGGGATAGAGATAAAATTCAGGAACAGATAGTGTGGTGAGTGATTTTGAAGGAGTCAGGCGCAGGAGGGTAAATCACAGAATGAAAGGTTTTATTCAGAAAACACAGCGGTACGCAGCAATGCGTCAAACACTCCAGTGCGTAAATCAGGCGCACTGGTAAACAACAAGGCACACGGGTGAAATATCCCGGCGATACAAAATACAAGGAACGCCGAAACCTACCCGAACAAGGAGAGGAGGCAGCTTCGGAGGAAGTCGTGACTGATAACCTGAAACACATTAAAATGGCGATAGGTTAGTGGAGGAGTGGCGGAGAGAGTTCTGGGCATATTCGGCCCATGGCAAGAACACCGACCATTCCCCCAGCTGGTCCTGGCAGTACGACTGCAGGAACCTACCCACATCCTGATTCACCTGTTGCACCTGCCCATTAGACTTGGGGTGAAACCCAGAGGTAAGGCTGACCGAGACCCCCAGACGTTCCATGAACGCCTTCCAGACCCTGGATGTAAACTGGGGACCCTGGTCAGACACTATGTCCTCTGGCACCCCGTAGTGCCGGAAGACGTGAGTAAACAGGGCCTCCGCAGTCTGCAGGGACGTGGGGAGACTGGGCAGAGGAAGGAGGCGGCAGGCTTTTGAAAAGCTGTCCACAACGACCAGGATGGTGGTTTTACCCTGAGAGAGGGGAAGATCAGTGAGAAAATCAATAAACAAGTGGGACCATGGCCGTTGTGGAACTGGTAAGGGATGTAACTTACCCGCTGGGAGGTGCCTAGGTGCCTTACTCTGGGCACACACCGAGCAGGAGGAGACATACACCCTCACGTCCTTAGCCAAGGTAGGCAACCAGTACTTTCCAGTCAGGCAGTGCACTGTACGGCCGATACCTGGATGACCAGAGGACAGAGACAACGAATGCCGAAGCCTGCCCGAACCAGGAGAGGAGGCAGCTTCGGAGGAAGTCGTGACAGTCTAGCAATGATCAACAACCAATTTGACAGACCTTGAAGAATTTTTAAAATAATAATGGGCAAAAGTTACACAATCCAGGTGTGGAAAGCTCTTACAGATTTACCAGAAATACTCACACCTGTAATCGCTGCCAAAGGTGCTTCTACAAAGTATCAACATGGCTGTAAATACATATGTAAATGAGATGAAAACATGTTTTCACTTCATCATTATGGGGTATTGTCTTTAGATGGATGAGAAAAACAACAACAATTTAATCTGCCGACAGATGTTCATGAAAATATTATAAAATCTGCATAAAAAGAATATGCACATTTTCTCATCAAAGTTGTTTCCATCAAATTGACGGATAGAAGTCTGTGCGTAAATATGTAGTGCACGTAAAAATGACTTTTGTAAATATATATTGCACATAAAAATTACTTTTGCGGTTAAATTCCCATGTACCCAAAAAATAAAAATAAAAATAAAAAGAGGTTCCATCTCATTTTCAACTCTAATCCTACTGATGGTTTTGTCACTAAAAATGTTAGTGTAGGTATGGAGAATGTGCCCACTCTGGTATTGGCATGTGCGCTCTAGCCAGTAGCTCGCAGATACGGTGCGGGTATACATGATGAGATTATTATGGACAAAAGTGGGAGATTATTATTTGTCAAACTGCAGCCAAGCAGCGATCATCATGTTACCAGAATAAAAGCCAATTTATGCGATCCAGAGGCTCTGTACAAAGGGTTTGACACAATTGCGGAGCCTCTGGAGGCATACAGAGACCAAATCGAGCTCCGTACCACATCGCCGTGCACCTCCCAAATTTTGTAACAATGCAGAGTGCTTCGTATACAGTGGGGAAAAAAAGTATTTAGTCAGCCACCAATTGTGCAAGTTCTCCCACTTAAAAAGATGAGAGAGGCCTGTAATTTTCATCATAGGTACACGTCAACTATGACAGACAAAATGAGGAAAGAAAATCCAGAAAATCACATTGTAGGATTTTTAATGAATTTAATTGCAAATTATGGTGGAAAATAAATATTTGGTCACCTACAAATTTCGGGCTCTCACAGACCTGTAACTTCTTCTTTAAGAGGCTCCTCTGTCCTCCACTCGTTACCTGTATTAATGGCACCTGTTTGAACTTGTTATCAGTATAAAAGACACCTGTCCACAACCTCAAACAGTCACACTCCAAACTCCACTATGGCCAAGACCAAAGAGCTGTCAAAGGACACCAGAAACAAAATTGTAGACCTGCACCAGGCTGGGAAGACTGAATCTGCAATAGGTAAGCAGCTTGGTTTGAAGAAATCAACAGTGGGAGCAATTATTAGGAAATGGAAGACATACAAGAACACTGATAATCTCCCTCGATCTGGGGCTCCATGCAAGATCTCACCCCGTGGGGTCAAAATGATAAAAAGAACGGTGAGAAAAAATCCAAGAACCACACGGGGGGACCTAGTGAATGACCTGCAGAGAGCTGGGACCAGTAACAAAGCCTACCATCAGTAACACACTACGCCGCCAGGGACTCAAATCCTGCAGTGCCAGACGTGTCCCCCTGCTTAAGCCAGTACATGTCCAGGCCCGTCTGAAGTTTGCTAGAGTGCATTTGGATGATCCAGAAGAGGTTTGGGAGAATGTCATATGGTCAGATGAAACCAAAATATAACTTTTTGGTAAAAACTCAACTCGTCGTGTTTGGAGGACAAAGAATGCTGAGTTGCATCCAAAGAACACATTTACATTTACATTTTAGTCATTTAGCAGACGCTCTTATCCAGAGCGACTTACAGTTAGTGAGTGCATACATAATTTTTTTATTTTTCATACTGGCCCCCCGTGGGAAACGAACCCACAACCCTGGCGTTGCAAACGCCATGCTCTACCAACTGAGCTACATCCCTGCCGGCCATTCCCTCCCCTACCCTGGACGACGCTGGGCCAATTGTGCGCCGCCCCATGGGTCTCCCGGTCACGGCCGGCTACGACAGAACTTCTACAGCAATAGTATTGTAATATTATAACAGTAATAATAGCGATGTAATTCTATAATAGCAGTACTTTAATAACAACAGTAATACTAATAATAGCAGTAAGGCTTTAACAACATCAGGAATCAGGAATCATTGATTTATTACATTACATTTACATTTTAGTCATTTAGCAGACGCTCTTATCCAGAGCGACTTACAGTTAGTGAATACATATCTTTTTATACTGGCCCCCCGTGGGAAACGAACCCACAACCCTAACCCTGGCGTTGCAAACTTTCTAAGCTGAATAAAACACTGGGGAAGGTGACAGTTGGCCTTTCCACAGTCGACAACTCTCTAGACCTGAACACAGAAACTGTCCTCCTCTCCAAGTCCCATTCTGTTACCCCTCTCCTTCCTGAAGTTTTCACTCGTTCACTCAAGGGACTGTTGTGAGGAATATTGTGGAAACTCCCCCTCTTGTCCATCATGCAAATCCTAAATTCATGAAGAGAGAAACGAAGTTGGGCTACAGTGTGGGGTCAAGGGTTAGAGGTCAGGGGTCAATCTGAGGGTGTGACCTTCAGCTCCTCACAGCTCCTCAGAACGTCCTCCAGAAAGGCCACCACCACCACCACACTCCTCTCCTCTTCTCCTCCCTCCCTCCCTACACACAGACCCCTCAGTCTCTCCAGCGTCTCTCCCAGAGTCCTCACCCTCTCCTCCCCCTCTCTCTCTCTCTCCCCCTCCATCCCTCCCTCCGTCCCTCCTCCTCTCCCTCCCTCCGTCCCTCCTCCTCTCCCTCCCTCCGTCCCTCCTCCCCCTCTCAGGTATTTCACCAGGTGTTCCTTGAAGCCCCTCCCCTTCTCCATGACGAGCGACACCCCCAGGGCAGGCATGTCCTGTGATTGGCTGAGTCGTAGCAGGTGTGTGAGGGCGTGTATGAGTGTGTGTCGGAGAGAGGAGCAGTAGCGGTACTCCAGGAAGTCCTGCGTCTCCTCGCTGTGTTCCAACGCCGCGGCCAGTGAGCGCCAAACACGCCCGAACCGCTCCGCATCACCGTAGCAATGACGGCAGGCGGGGACGGAGAGGGCAGCAGCAGACTTGATGCGCACCTTGAAGTTCTGACAGGAAGTGACAACACAGCAGAGGGCGGAAAACGCATCGCCGGACCAGGAAGCAGAATCGAGGGTCAGGGCAGGGTTCCTGAAGGCGTTGCCCAGGGCGTAGCAGGCATTCCAGCGGACCTTCATCGTGGCTTCTGATTGGACCGTGGTGACCAGTGCGCTGACCGCCTCCTCCAGGGGGCGCTGGAACCCCGGCCGGGTCAGCTGACTGACAGACAGGAAGTGGAGCAGGTTCCCCAACGCACGCACCGCATTACTCTTCACCCTGTCCTTGTCAATAGAAGCCTTGGTGGCCGACTGTAGCATCTGGAGGACCAACATGTCAGACAGTTCCTCCTGGAAAACCTCCCCTACACATTCCATGTTGACGATGAGTGTGTCGGTGAGGTTGCCTAGCGACCAGGCGGCGTTGGAGCGGACATTGGGGGAGCAGTCGTCCAGGGCTGTCAGGATGGCGTTGGCCGTGTCTGCTACAAACATCACATCCTCTCGTAGACAGGGGAACAGAATGTTGACTCCCAGAGCTCTGACTGCAGCAGCCTTCACCAGAGAGTTATCACTGTAGGTCAGGCCCAACAACACTGTTACACACAGAACCTGGCTCTTCTCCGGTAGCTGTGTGAAGGCCTGTGGTAAGATTGAGGAGAGGGTGTCACAGGAGCTGGTCTGTAGAGTAGGATGCTGATGACTCTGAAGGGCTCTGTTCAACGGACCACTCAATACATCCACCCAGAACTGGACCACCTGTGAGATCGGGACCCTGCAGCTCTCTGCCTGGCTGCTGTCTGCTCTGTACTGTTGGATGATACCTGTCCCCAACTCCTCCAGTAACTTGGCTCCGTGTAGTTGTATGGAGGGGTCTGTCTCTCGGAGACAACGGGCACTCAGCTGCCCCAGCTCACACAGACACGCCTGGCACAGAGGGAAGTAACCGCGCATCAGGTGGGCTAGCACCTGTAAGGCCTCCAGGCGAACTGGGGAGGGCTCTAGAGCTGTAGCCCCTCCTCCTGGACCCTCGCTGTCTGATTGGTCATCTCTGGGTTGAGTGACAAGCGACACACACAGCTGCAGCAGCCAGGGCACGCCCGGCTCCTCCTCTCCTGGAGTGTGTGAGCCCCGAGGAGAGTGTGTTTGTTTGGTGTGTGAGTTGTGGTATTTGTGGGAGGGTGGAGTGTGTGGTGAGGGTGTGGAAAACCCCTCCCTCTGTCTCCAGCTCAGCGCCGTCTCCTGCGAGGTGTGTGGCTGTGTGAGGAGCAGCTGTATCTCAGAGAGAGGGGCTTGGGTCGACACCAACGCTCCATACAGTGTCAGAACAGACACACGCACGTTCACATCTCTGTGTCGTAGGTAGGGTCGTATCTGTCTCCACAGCGGGCTGAGCAGGCCGGGTCTCAGACGGTTATACGGAGCATTACACACCAGGTGAGCCAGGCACTTGATGATCTGAGTGAGTGTGTGGGCAGAGGCCTCGGCCAGCAACGCCAGGGAGAGAGAGCGGTGCAGCTCGCGGACGGCGGTGGCGAGGGAGAAGGAGAATGGAGTGTAAGAGGTTATGGGCGGAGCCAAGTCTTCAGCCACGCCCAGGAACTGACGGGAACCATCCAGCAACGCAGACACCACCTGGAGGGCACACGCACGCACCTTAGGTGAAAGGTCCTTCAGTACTACAGTGAGCAGTGTGAGAGGAGGTGGTCCACCAATGGGAGCGTCCGGTATGAATGACGACCAATAGCCATACAGCGTTCTCCTCTCCACTGCCTTCACCACGGCTAGGAGACACAGCAACACACCCTGCCGCACCCTGCCATGGAACAACCTCAGTTTGCTGTGTGCTGCTCCCTCAGGATCAGAGAACTCTGAATCAGAGCTGCTCCTCTTCCATAACGGATAGAGGGATGGAACGGCCGGAGGTGGGGCTCCAGGGGTCTTAGACCAGGCCTCCCCTCCTCTTCCCCCTCTCTGGAGCCCGGGTTCTGCCTCTCTCTCCGCATCCACTCCTCCTTTCCTCCCCCGTCCTCGAGACTTCTTCTTCTTATTCCCTGAGGTCTGGGTGGGGGGGTTCCGTGGAGGTTCAGGGGGTTTGGGGGTGCTGCAGGTTTCGTACTGAGGCAGGGGAGCAGGGTACAGCACGGACGGCCACTCCACACCCACTCCTGGACAACCATGGAACATGAACCTCTTGAGAACTGCCAGTAGAGCTCCTTGTTCCTCCTGGCCTCCAAACCTCCACTTCCCTCCACACAGAGAGGACTGGAGGCCCTTCACTGCTCCCTGGATCACCGTGCAGTAAAGCAGTTCATCAGCGTCGGGGGGTTTGGGTGACTGGAGCGTCTGCAGGAAGACTCTGAAACACAAACTCCTGTAGGGGTCTTCTAGTGACGCCTGCCCTGGGACACCCAGACAGATGTTAGCCATACAGGTGAGAGCAGCACGACGCAGCTCCATGTCTGGCTGAGACGGGTCGCTATAGAGACGCAGTACTCCACCATCACCAAGCAACTCACTCAGGTGCAGGTTGCAGCGAGGTCCGTTTCCATAGATCAGAGTAGACAAAGCCTGCAGCACCTCACTGTGAGTCCAGGGGCTACACACGCCCAGCGCACGGACCACGTAACACACACACACATCCAGCGTCTGCTCGTCCACTATCACCTGTAGCTGGTTGAGGAGGTGGTGTGTGAGCTGACATAGCTTGATAACCAGGTGTTCCTGGCTGAGAGGAACCAGGTGGGTCACGTGGATGAGCAGCGTGCACACTTCCTCAGGTGGTATGTTGGGGGTGGAGCATGGGGGTGGAAACATCATGCTTTGGGGCTATTTTTTACAAAGGGACCAGGACGACTGATCCGTGTAAAGGAAAGAATGAATGGGGTCATGTATCGTGAGATTTTGAATGAAAACCTCCTTCCATCAGCAAGGGCATTGAAGATGAAACGTGGCTGGGTCTTTCAGCATGACAATGATCCCAAACACACCGCCCGGGCAACGAAGGAGTGGCTTCGTAAGAAGCATTTCAAGGTCCTGGAGTGGCCTAGCCAGTCTCCAGGTCTCAACCCCATAGAAAATCTTTGGAGGGAGTTGAAAGTCCGTGTTGCCCAGCGACAGCCCCAAAACATCACTGCTCTAGAGGAGATCTGCATGGAGGAATGGGCCAAAATACCACCAACAGTGTGTGAAAACCTTGTGAAGACTTACAGAAAACGTTTGAGCTGTGTCATTGCCAACAAAGGGTATATAACAAAGTATTGAGAAACTTTTGTTATTGACCAAATACTTATTTTCCACCATAATTTGCAAATAAATTCATAAAAAATCCTAGAATGTGATTTTCTGGAATTTTTTTCTCAGTTTGTCTGTCATAGTTGACGTGTACCTATGATGAAAATTACAGGCCTCTCTCATCTTTTTAAGTGGGAGAACTTGCACAATTGGTGGCTGACTAAATACTTTTTTTCCCCACTGTAGCTCCGCATTGACATGATTGGTTGACGGTAGGTGGTGGCGGGAGGTCCTGTATGAACACAAACTCACTTCCTTGACAACTTCCTTCACAACAGTTATACGCTGCTCTGCAAAGCGCACGAATAATGAATGCTCTGACTTCTGCGGATGCCGCATCACAGTAAATGCTGTATGGCCACTGCAGACATCTGTAAACCATGCAGAGCCTTTAGACCCTCAATATTTATTGAAAGGAGCGTCAAACTCATCACCATGCACCTTCACCACCCTGTGAAGTTTATTTCATCTGTAGCCATGATGTCCTGACATTTTTTTATGTGACATGTTCTTTGCTCGCAACAAAAGGTTGGATGGAAACCTGGTTAATGCCAAGCCATTTTGAGGATGCTGGAATTATATTTTGGAGGAATGTGAGCATTCCTACAGGAGACTTTTGAAGTAGCCTAATCAGATTAAAACATTGTGACTGGTTGTGTTTATGCCACATATAAAAGGTAATACAAGTTTAATGATAAATATTTTGGTTATATTGAAGCGTTATTCTAGGTGTGTGGGGAATAGGCGCTCGGATGGGAGTAGAGCACACATTTAGCTTTCCTGAATAACTGGGCCTGCCGTGAGCATATGTGGCCAAATACTTATAGGACGACATGGGAGAATGGTGATCTGCAACAGACATTCCATTTGGATCAGTTGTGGGTCTACTCTCCGCATTTTATAAGGTCTAGAAAGGCACAGTAGCAGGCCACTCTGACTGCGTTTTTTTACTTCTGATACTGAGATGTGCTTAAACATTCAGATCACGGGGCTTTTGCGCCGTTATTCAAATGACATTTTCACTGCAGCCGAGAGTAGAATTTTGTACTTGAAAACAATAATGAAATTAGTCATTGCATTGTGGTGTTGTAGGCTAGTCTCGGTAGGATAATTGTATTGTCCCTAAACAAGATCAATAAGGGAGATTTTTGAGCTGTGTGCCTCATGTCTTCACTGTTCTTTCAGGCGCAATGATGCACCTGGTCTCTCCGCTGCCTATCAGCTATTCTTATTTGTTCTTGTGAATTCATATTGAAAATTGATGCAGCTTTGAATGCTATTTAGCCTATTGCAGATCAGGACAAATGATCCACCTCCACTATTGTCACTATGAATGGTGGATAGAGGGCAGAATAGACAGAGAGGTAGACTATATTGACCTGTGGTAGAGTAAAAGTTAGCGCGCGGAAAAGCGTAGTGCGTAAGGGAAGTACCAAAACACCTTGATATAAGGGATGTGCATACAAGCAGATGAGGACATTTGCCTAGGATGGAAGAAATTATATAGTAAAACCTGAAGAAAAAAATGAATGTAAACATACTACCCTCCCCTGTGCCCAATAAAAAAGACACACAACCCAGCCCCAAAGCAACAACAAAAAAAGTTTTGACAACCCTCCCCACCTGTCCTATAGCTCTTTCAACATCTCTACAACAGGCATAGCAGAAGATGGGGGTCTGTCTTTCTGCTACTAACTCCCCAGAGTCCCCAAAGAGTGATTTAACATACTGTTGTATGTTGTATTGTGTCTCTGGTGCTTGTCTTGTGGTATACCTCAGTTAGTCCTCTACACCTCTCCCGGCCTTGTTGTAATGTTGTTCACCACATCCTGAACAGCACAGACAGGAGGTTAACTCTCACACAGGCCTGGCCTTCCTGAAAGAGGCGTCCGACTTTCACTCACGCTACATCATCACAGTAAGTCAACATACATACCACACCAAAATACATTTGTAATTTTTCAAACCCTACCAAGTATGTCTAAAGAGGTTAATGTGTGTAAATGTCATGTAAAATGTGTTCCATCTTAATTGGATTGCGTGACTGACTCTGAAGCATTGGTGTCATTTACTGTTTATTTTTTGGGGGTGTGTGGATGAGTTGAAGTGCTCTTTTGAGTGTATTGGAGGCTATTAAAGCTATCTGTTTTTAAAGCATTGTGTTGTGTACCTTGCAGGTCGTCAAAAGGATATTCTACAATGTCAACAGGTCATGGACAGGCAGGATCAGCTGTTCAGAGCTCAGGAAAAGCAGCTTTCTCCAAGTAGGAAGGAAGATCTGAGGTGGAATGGATAATTTGTCCCATCAACAGTAGTGCTGTAAGTCAGATGAGGATGGACCCACCCTCAGTTTGGAGTCTGGTTCCTCCCATGGTTTCTTCCCATCAAGGGAGGTTTTCCTCGTCACTGTATAGTGAAAAGTGCTAAATAAGTCACCATTAATTGATTGGTTAATTGATTGTTTGGCTGGTTGGTTGACTGGCTAGTTGGTTGATGAATTGATTGGTCCAACAGAACGTGTCCCTGCTAGAGCAGGAGGAGGACGTGAACCAGCTGACAGAGTTCTTCTCGTATGAACATTTCTATGTCATCTACTGCAAGTTCTCGGAGCTCGACAAAGACCATGACCTCTACATAGACCAGAGAGACCTGGCTCGACACAACGACCAAGGTACGCGCGCACGAGCAGACATACACACAAAGAATGACCAAGGCACCCCTCAAGTCCAAGTGGAGTCCAAGTGCTTTCGCTCAAGCCACACACACCCCTCCATATCTTCCTGGTTGTGAAAGAAATGGGATCGAAGATCAATTGGAGCAATAGGCGTAACTTCTCCACCCACTCCCCTAATTAATATCCTGGTTGAATTGAATGACGTCATGTCTGGCTCCATTTACTAGTCCTGTAGATCTCCCCTACAAGCAGAAATTACTGTATTTATGGTATGGAAATCATTCACTTTACTTCCCAATGAGCTCGATTTATGTCGTGTGACTGTGGATCATGTCTCCTCTAAAGTCTATGGCATTTTTTCACTACCTTGACATTTTGGCTTCTATAGGCATTTCTGTAATAGGCACCATCAAGTATTTTATGTCTATGGATTCAGCACACTGTCAGCTACAATAAATATAATGTCAACAACAAAAAAACATTGAGACACTTATATGAGTGATAATGTGCCATGAAGGCTAAAAAATATGTAAAAAAGCATGTTGATTGTGGTTCTTCCAGGTCTTGAGAATAACTGTACCAGTGTTTGGGGGCACAAATATCAATGAAACAAGCAACTATTTGGGACTACTGCCCACATCCGTTTTCAACAGAACATAAGCCCAATCACACAGAATGCCCATGTCTGTCCTTCACATGTTTTGCCACAGGTGAATGCCATTCCGAATTTCACAGAGGGTCACCCCAGTGATCCCACACTCATTGGTGGGACTAGTTCCTCATCTACTGGCCTACATGTGCATTGCACCTTAGGGAAATACTTAAGCAATAAGGCCCGAGGAAGTGTGGTATATGGCCAATATACCATGGCTAAGGGCTGTTCTTAAGCATGACGCAACTCGAAGTGCCTGGATACAGCCATTAGCCATGGAATATTGGCCATATACCACAAACCCCCGAGGTGCCTTAATGCTATTATAAACAGGTTACCAATGTAATTAGAACAGTAAAAAATATTTGTTTTTGTCAGACCAGTGGTATACGGTCTGATATACCACAGCTTTCAGCCAATCACCATTCAGGGATCAAACCACCCATTTAATAATACTGTGTGGATGTATGTATGTGCAATTGAATACATTTTATAATAAGGCTGTAATGTAACAAAATGTGGAAAATGTCAAGGGGTCTGAATACTTTCCGAATGCACTGTATGTATGTATGTATGTATGTATGTATGTATGTATGTATGTATGTATGTATGTATGTATGTATGTATGTATGTATGTATGTATGTATGTATGTATGTATGTATGTATGTATGTATGTATGTATGTATGTATGTATGTATGTACAGTGCATTTGGAAAGTATTCAGCCCCCTTGACTTTTTCCACATTTTGTTACATTACAGCCTTATTGTAAGGGATCGGGGGTTGGCTGGATCTAGACAGAGTCTGACACTTCCCCGATCTACAGAGAGGGGGAGTCATCAGACTCGATCTGGTTCACCTGAGTTCTGAGCACACCTGTCAGTAATTAGTGTAGGATTTAAGGTGTGCTCAGAAGCTCAGTCGGCGCAAGGTATTGTTCCTTTGTGACTTGCTAAGCGTTTTGTTCCGAGAGAGAGAGAGAGTTTGTTGTTTTTGATTACCCGTGTATCCGACCTGTGCCTTGTTGTTTGACTCCCCGAATTGCTTAATCCTCTGCTTGTCTACCCCAGTGATTACCGTCCTCTGATCCTGTGCCTGTGCCCTCGACTACGACTAAGCCCGCTCCATTGGTACCTCTGCCTGTCTATGCCTGGCCCGGTTTTGACCACAGCCCGCCCGACCACGATTAAGCTATTCCCTTGTCTGTACTCTAATAAAGCATCGCTATTCTGCGATTGGATCTTACCACTCTGTCCGAGTATTCATTACACTTATTATAAAATGGATTTCATTTTTTTCCAGTCATCTACACACAATACCCCATACTGAACAGGTTTTTAGAAATATTTGCAAATGTATTAAAAATAAAAAATATACCTTATTTACATAAGTATTCAGACAGTTTGCTTTGCGACTCGAAATTCAGCTCGGGTGCATCCTGTTTCCATTGATCATCCTTGAGATGCCAAACTGAGCAATCGGGGGAGAAGGGCCTTGGTCAGGGAGGTGACCAAGAACCCGATGGTCACTCTGACAGAGCTCCAGAGTTCCTCTGTGGAGATGGGAGAACCTTCCAGAAGGACAACCATCTCTGCAGCACTCCACCAATTTAGGTCTTCATGGTAAAGTGGCCAGACGGAAGCCACTCCTCAGTAAAAGGCACATGACAGCCCGCTTGGAATTTGCCAAAAGGCACCTAAATGACTCTCAGACCATGAGAAACAAGATTCTCTGGTCTGATGAAACCAAGATTGAACTCTTTGGCCTGAATGCCAAGCGCCACGTCTGAAGTAAACCTGGCACCATCCCTACGGTGAAGCACGGTGGTGGCAGCATCATGCTGTGGGGATGTTTTTCAGCGGTAAGGACTGGGAGACTCGGGATCGAGGGAAAGATAAACAGAGCAAAGTACAGAGAGATCCTTGATGAAAACCTGCTCCAGAGCACTCAGGACCTCAGACTGGGGCGAAGGTTCACATTCCAACAGGACAACGACCCTAAGCACACAGCCAAGACAACGCAGGAGTGGCTTCGGGACAAGTCTCTGAATGTCCTTGAGTGGCCTTGCCAGAGCCCGGACTTGAACTCGATCTAACATCTCTGAAGAGACCTGAAAATAGCTGTGCAGCGACGCTCCACATCCAACCCGACAGAGCTTGAGAGGATCTGCAGAGAAGAATGGGAGAAACACACCAAATACAGGTGTGCCAAGCTTGTAGCGTCATACTCAAGAAGACTCAAGGCTGTAATCGCTGCCAAAGGTGCTTCAACAAAGTACTGAGTAAAGGGTCTGAATACTTATGTAAATGTTTTATTTCAGTTTTATTTGTCTAAAAACCTGTTTTTGCTTTGTCATTATGTGGTATTGTGTGTAGACTGAATAGGCTGTAATGTAACAAAATGTGGAAAAAGTCAAGGGGTCTGAATACTTTCCGAATGCACTGTATGTATATATATTAACAAAAAACTACATTTTAAGTGAGAATAGGCATTGGTCTGAAGCCGAAAAATAAAGCAAATTCACATGAGCACCATAATGCCTATTCCACCCATGCTCTACCAAGGTTTTCCAGTACACAGCTTTGACCTACTACAGTAGCTGTGTTGGTATTGTACTTCAAACTATGTGTAGGCAGGTTGCTTGGGATCCAAACCTTCTTAAACAGTCTAATTCATGTGATTTGTACCGCATGCAAGGTAAAGTATTGGATTCTTCACACACCACAGTAAGACATTATCCCGTTACGCTACATTTTCATGCTTTTTTTATTAAATGAATGCAAGCTTTGCTTTCATACTTACAAGGCCATTAGGCTTGTTTGAGCAGTTTTGTTTTGTAATAATGTGGTGCATGGACTTGGTATTTTACCAAATAAGGCAATATTCTGTATACCACCCCTACCTTGTCACAACACATAATCTCAAATCTCAAATATATTTTGATTTGTTTAACACTTTTTTTGTTACTACATGATTCCATATGTGTTATTTCATAGTGCTATGTCTTCACTATTATTCTACATTGAATGAGTAGGTGTGTCCAAACTTTTGACTGGTAGTGTATATATGCAGAGTTTGTTGTATATGAAATGTCAATGAAATGGAAAAAAAGGGTCCTGTACCATCTCTTAGTCTTGCGGTACACAGAGTAATACTGTAGTGTCCATCCACCTGGTAAAGAGGAGGTTGCCATATCTGATCCACCTCAGTGGGGTGGTTGGTTGGTCTGGCTCATCTTATCTTCTTGTCTAAAATAAAATTAGTTTTACATGTACATTTTTTTGCCATATTTAAAAGCAGAAAATCCTTCATTACCAACATTCATACTTTTCCCCCACTAAATTATCTACCCTTCCCCATTTAGCTCAGTGGAGGTGTGTAAGGGGAGAATTTTAAAGCCTGCCCTGTGCTATTGTTATGTTGTAGTGGTAGGGGGTTGGGGAAAGTTATGTGCTGTGAAAATATTACATTGTTTATTTTCTGTGCTATAGCCTATCATGATGTAGTCTATTTCAATAGAACATAAACCCTGTATCACCAAATGTGTATATTTTCATTACATTAAATAATAACGGCATATCCAGTAATGTTATTTTAGACTTCGCTACTCCCGTATCGTATCAACAAAGTAAATAGACAGCGACTTTCCCATTACGCTATCAAAACAGTAAAATAATAAAATGCCTTGGACGTTACCGTTATCAACACAGTAAACAGTAAATGTTTTCTAATAAACCAAATAGGAAATCATCTCCCAGATATCACTATTTCTAAAACAAGCCATAGAACGTTGGTTGAAATTTCAATTTAATGCTCCAGAAACGACAGAACAAATAATGCAACAAATATTGTGGTTAAACTCAAATATACTAATTGACAGAAAAACTTTTAAAAAGGTATAATAAAGGTATAATCTTCGTAAATTATATCATCGGTAGGACTGATGGAGTTATGTCGCACGTGCAGCTAACAAAAACATATGGAAATGTCTGCTCTACCCAAAATTACAACCAAATAATTGCAGCCTTACCGCAAAAATGGAAGAGGAAAGTGGAAGGAGGAGAAAGTAAGGCACTTGTCTGTCGGCCTTGCATTAAAGAACATAATTGGTTAAGGAAAACTGTGATAAATAAAAAGGTATATCAGTTTCATTTAAGGACCAAAGGATTGACAGCCGTCCCATATAGATTGCAAAATAGTTGGGAAGAGATTTTCGACGTACCGATCCCATGGCATAGTGTTTATGAACTGATACGCAAAACAACACCGGATTCAAAACTTAGAATCTTTCAAATTAAATTATTATATAAAATTCTTGCTACCAATATAATGTTATTTATATGGGGGATACAATCTCCCAGCTCTGCAGATTTTGCTGCGAAGAGACAGAATCATTAGATCATTTGTTTTGGTACTGTCCATTTGTAGCTTGTTTTTGGACACAGTTCCAGGAATGGCTAAAGGATTGCAATATTTACCTGGAGCTAACCCTGCAGATAGCATTACTGGGTGATCTGAAAAGTCATAGTCAATCGATCAATAACATAATAATACTATTAGCAAAAATGTTTATTTTCAATTCACAATCTGTAGAAACAATGAGAATAGAAAGGTTCAGAACTTTTGTAAGACATCACAGTACAGTTGAAATATATATGGCAAATAGAAATCCTATATGGATGGTGTTAAAAGATAGATGGGAGGTGTTGAATGGAATTGAAGGATGGGACTAATAACAACTAACAACAAACAATAACAAGATAACTAATAATGTCGGCACGCTGTGTCCATAATAAGTGTATTAGTTGTAGGTTGGGAGCTTTTGTGAAGGAGCACAGTTAGAAAGATATGGCATATACAGTGGGGAGAAAAAGTATTTTATACACTGCCGATTTTGCAGTAGAGGCATGTAGAGGTCTGTAATTTTTATCATAGGTACACTTCAACTGTGAGAGACGGAATCTAAAACAAAAATCCAGAAAATCACATTGTATGATTTTTAAGTAATTAATTTGCATTTTATTGTATGACATAAGTATTTGATCACCTACCAACCAGTAAGAATTCCGGCTCTCACAGACCTGTTCGTTTTTCTTTAAGAAGCCCTCCTGTTCTCCACTCATTACCTGTATTAACTGCACCTGTTTGAACTCGTTACCTCTATAAAAGACACCGGTCCACACACTCAATCAAACAGACTCCAACCTCTCCACAATGGCCAAGACCAGAGAGCTGTGTAAGGACATCAGGGATAAAATTGTAGACCTGCACAAGGCTGGGATGGGCTACAGGACAATAGGCAAGCAGCTTGGTGAGAAGGCAACAACTGTTGGCGCAATTATTAGAAAATGGAAGAAGCTCAAGATGACGGTCAATCACCCTTGGTCTGGGGCTCCATGCAAGATATCACCTCGTGGGGCATCAATGATCATGAGGAAGGTGAGGGATCAGCCCAGAACTACACGGCAGGACCTGGTCAATGACCTGCAGAGAGCTGGGACCACAGTCTCAAACAAAACCATTAGTAACACACTACGCCGTCATGGATTAAAATCCTGCAGCGCATGCATGGTCCCCCTGCTCAAGCCAGCGCATGTCCAGGCCCGTCTGAAGTTTGCCAATGACCATCTGGATGATCCAGAGGAGGAATGGGAGAAGGTCATGTGGTCTAATGAGACAAAAATATAGCTTTTTGGTCTAAACTCCATTCGCCGTGTTTGGAGGAAGAAGAAGGATGAGTACAACCCCAAGAACACCATCCCAACCGTGAAGCATGGAGGTGGAAAGGGGACAGGACGACTGCACTGTATTGAGGGGAGGATGGATGGGGCCATGTATCGCGAGATCTTGGCCAACAACCTCCTTCCCTCAGTAAGAGCATTGAAGATGGATCGTGGCTGGGTCTTCCAGCATGACAACGACCCAAAACACACAGCCAGGGCAACTAAGGTGTGGCTCCGTAAGAAGCATCTCAAGGTCCTGGAGTGGCCTAGCCAGTCTCCAGACCTGAACCCAATAGAAAATCTTTGCAGTGAGCTGAAAGTCCGTGTTGCCCAGCGACAGCCCCGAAACCTGAAGGATCTGGAGAAGGTCTGTATGGAGGAGTGGGCCAAAATCCCTGCTGCAGTGTGTGCAAACCTGGTCAAGACCTACAGGAAACGTATGATCTCTGTAATTGCAAACAAAGGTTTCTGTACCAAATATTAAGTTCTGCTTTTCTGATGTATCAAATACTTATGTCATGCAATAAAATGCAAATTAATTACTTAAAAATCATACAATGTGATTTTCTAGATTTTTGTTTTAGATTCCGTCTCTCACAGTTGAAGTGTACCTATGATACAAATTACAGACCTCTACATGCTTTGTAAGTAGGAAAACCTGCAAAATCGGCAGTGTATCAAATACTTGTTCTCCCCACTGTATATGTATATGTATATGTATGTATGTGTGTATGTATGAATATATATATATATATATAAACAAACATGGGGGATTGGAAGTGATGCAGACAATTACATTGATGGAAGTGACAATCTATCTGCAATATTAAGCTGATCTACCCCCCCAAAAAAATATTTTAAAAATGTAATAATATTAATAAAAAAATATAATAATAAAAATAGACAATGTGTTATCACACAGAATATATTTCCAAAGAATATCACAGTCTGTATATATCGAGATAAGATTGACTACCATCCATTGATGTGTCCAGGGAAATCCAGATAAGCTGGAAGTTTGCCATCACCTTACGTATAACTAGACAAGCCATATACCGTGTTATTCAGCAGAATGTCAGCTTTCATTAAAAAAATATATATGTTTACCATTCAGATTTTATTAATATAAACTATGCATGTTTGGCGCACGGGTGCGTCAATCGACTTCAGGGGTTTCTAGAATGAAGACCATGTACAGTAACTCACATCACATTATCTTACTAAGGTTGTAAAAGTTATTTATCTTGTATGTTTTCCAGCCATCTCCCACAAAATGATTGAAATAATATTTTCTGGGACAGTTACCAGGTAAGAAACATGGACTAAAGTGTTTTGTTTTTTCACTACTTTCACTGAGTTGAGGTTGGCTTGAGCCCTCTGTGTGTTTCTTCTAATATTGTATCTACTTTTGTCTAAAGCTCTGTGTAAATATTGCTATTTGCTAGATATGGCAAATAAAGCTTGATTAAATTGAAATAGAACTGAATGTGAAGTAAGAGAGTGGTGTTTGAGTGTCCTTACCTCTCCTTCCAAGGATAAACGTCTACTTAAAGATGGCAGACTGAGCTACGCTGACTTTGTCTGGTTCCTCTGGTTCCTGACACCAGGTACTATACACATGAACACCAGTTTCACATTGGAACCGTCTCATATAAAAAATATTGCTTTTGTATAGAATTTTTGTAACAGTCTCTTTTCCTGTATAGAGTAGTAATTTGTGTGTTGGTGTCACCACTGGTGTATTTAACCCATCACTCTTTCTCTCTCCCTCCACAGTATAGAATACTGGTTCAGGTGTATGGACCTGGATGGGGACGGTGTGTTGTCTATGTATGAGCTGGAGTATTTCTATGAGGAGCAGTGTGTGAAGCTGGAGACCATGGCAATCGAGCCCCTGCCCTTCGAGGACTGTCTCTGTCAGATGCTGGATCTCGTCAAGCCGGAGGTCGAAGGTCAGACACCTTAAACAGACATGAACAACTTGTTCCGTAGTGACAAAGGAGATTAGGGTTTTATTTTATTTATTTGACAGCACAGTCAGAAATTAGACCGACAAAGATACATGTAGAGGGACAGACGGATGAGAATGGCTGAGACAGGATTCATTGTCATGTTGTCAGGGGTAAACGTGGTCCGAAAATAAATGCTAGCCCACAGTTTGATGCTACTAGTAGCTGTTAGTTCCAGTGCAAAGAATTTTTAGACCAAAGCTAATTTCCTAACGCCTACTCAGGTAAAAAAATACATGTCACAATCGAACATATTTGTGGTCTGTTTGATTTAGTTTGGGACTAAAATGGCTCTACAATATTGGTTCCAATATACCAGGTAAACTAAATCAAGCTCAGCTCAGGTAATTTACATGTTTATTTGACCTACAGTGGCTTGCGAAAGTATTCACCCCCCTTGGCATTTTTCCTATTTTGTTGCCTTACAACCTGGAATTAAAATGGATTTTTGGGGGGGTTGTATCATTTGATTTACACAACATGCCTACCACTTTGAAGATGCAAAATATTTTTTTTTGTGAAACAAACAAGAAATAAGAAAAGAAAAAAAAGAAAACTTGGGCGTGCATAACTATTGGCGAACACCAAATGTGTTTGCTTATTTTTTTCTTTAAGCAATGGCTTTTTTCTGGCCACTCTTCCGTAAAGCCCAGCTCTGTGGAGTGTACGGCTTAAAGTGGTCCTATGGACATATACTCCAATCTCCGCTGTGGAGCTTTGCAGCTCCTTCAGGGTTATCTTTGGTATTTTTGTTGCCTCTTTGATTAATGCCCTCCTTGCCTGGTCCGTGAGTTTTGGTGGGCGGCCCTCTCTTGGCAGGTTTGTTGTGGTGCCATATTCTTTCAATTTTTTAATAATGGATTTAAATGGTGCTCCATGGGATGTTCAAAGTTTCTGATATTTTTTGATAACCCAACCTTGATCTGTACATCTCCACAACTTTGGCCCTGACCTGTTTGGAGAGCTCCTGGGTCTTCATGGTGCCGCTTGCTTGGTGGTGCCCCTTCCTTAGTGGTGTTGCAGACTCTGGGGCCTTTCAGAACAGGTGTATATATACTGAGATCATGTGACAGATCATGTGACACTTAGATTGCACACAGGTGGACTTTATTTAACTAATTATGTAACTTCTGAAGGTAATTGGTTGCACCAGATCTTATTTAGGGGCTTCATAGCAAAGGGGGTGAATACATATGCACGCACCACTTTTCCGTTATTTATTTTGTAGAATTTTTTTTATTTCATTTCACCAATTTGGACTATTTTGTGTATGTCCACTACATGAAATCCAAATAAAAATCAATTTAAATTACAGGTTGTAATGCAACAAAATGGGAAATATGCCAAGGGGATGAATACTTTTGCAAGGCACTGTAGGTCTGGGAGCACCACTAAACCTTGAAAAGCAGCTGCTATTGGATATGTTTGGGATTGAATATAAAAAATAAGATTTCCATTCTTCTCCAGGAAAGATCACCCTACGGGACCTGAAGCGGTGTAAGTTGTCCCACCTCTTCTATGACACTTTCTTCAACATCGAGAAGTACCTGGACCACGAGCAGAAATACCCCTTTTCTGTTATAAGGGTAACTATTGACTACGACAGGATATTATTATTACCCCTGTGACAGGATATGATCTCATAAGGACAATTGGTAATGGAGTTTTGTTGTGTCTTTGTAAGGAGGCCGAAACAGAGTGGCAGGAGATCTCGGACTGGGAGAAATATGCAGCGGAGGAATACGATATCCTGGTGGCCGAGGTGATTGCTACCGATCCGTACAATGACGGGTAAGACTGACTACACTCAAACATTACAATCATAACCATTTGCCACACAGAATCGCAGAATCCTCTCATTGATTTAATGACCAATCTCTCATCAGTTTCTGTAGAGGAGAAAGTCAATAGTTGAATTCACAGTTTGTTAGGGCACCAACTCTCAGTCTGTGCTGTCCTAAAGGATCAATTGTGCTTTGACCTATTCTGCATCAGGAATGCATTAAGCCAGAGGTAGTGAGCTGTCATTTTCCATAAGTATCTTTGTTATAAGTTCTTAGAGCGTCACTGTAAATGTTATGTATGGCAAGTATTGCGATGTAATGGCTTGACTTCAGGAGGACTGCCATAACTGCTGTGGTTGTGTAGAACAGGGGTTCCCAAACCTTTTCACTCAGGCCCCCTTCCAGCATTGGGGAATATCCTGTGCACCCCCTGTGCGCCCTATGGGCACAAGTACTGTTTATGACACAAACTGTTCACACCCCTTTTGTTGGTGGAGAGAACATTTAGCAGGTTTAAAGCTTATTTCCTGCAATTAAACACATTTTGTCATAGGGTGCAGAGAAAAGTTTGCAGTTTTAAAGTTAATTTTCTTGATATTCTGTAGATTTTACCATGTCTAATCTGTATTCATGTGATATTTGAGTGACTCAAACATTACTACAAAATCTATGGACTAAAAAACCTAACTAAAAAACATTAGCTGACATGGGCCAGTTGATCTGGACATTTCTGACAAGTTATAAATAGCTTTCTAAAGTCTGCAATGACTGACCTGACAAGAGGGATACTGATGATGCACTACCCAATTTCGAAATTTCACCCTGTTCATTCTACTATTACAACTTTATAAACAGTATTAATATATATATATATATTATTTTTTTTTATGGGCGGGGGGACTCCTCGCCCAACAGTTTTGGAACCACTGGTGTAGAATGATGATAGGGGGCCAGTGTGAGGGACAAGGCTGTTGACAGGCTGTTGTGTGGCGGTTTTAGGGACACCACAGACTTCTAAAGACAAGCTGGGTAGGATGAGGGAGAGGCTGCTTTGCCTGGCCAGGTAAGAGACCAGGGTGTCTGTCTGTCGAGCCTCAGGGTGTATGTAGACTCTCTCTCTCAGTCCTCCTTCACTCTCTCCCTGCTTGCTTAGTTCCAATTCCACCCCTAGCCTCTAGGAACTGAAAGGATTGGATAGGTAGTAGTGGGTACCTGTGTGTGTATATATGGTAATAACTCTAATAATAATAATAATAATAATATGACATTTAGCAGACACTTTTATCCAAAGCGACTTACAGTCATGCATGCATACATTTTTTGTTGATGTGACCCCACCTGTTTATCTCTTGAATTTTGATAGCTCCTTCACGGAATTGATCCCTGCATATCTACTGTACCACTTTTCCCTATCCCCACTTTTCCCTGTCTGTGTCATAGGGACTATATTCCAATGCAATGCTTTGATTTCACTATGTTGAAAGAACTACTAAAGTATACAAATGTTGAACCCACCACCCCTTTTCGCCCACCCTTGCTCTCACGCTCTCACTGTCTCTGTCTGTATAGGTATGACAGTGCTCTGAGTCCCATAGAGCAGCACATGTCCAGTGAATTGGGTCTGAGGACAGAGAAGAGATGTTTCTTTGAGATCCCCAACCCTCACTGCAACCTGGACCTGGATGAGTACGAATATGAGGACGACTTTGAATGACCCCTAAGCAACAAAACAGGGAGAGGAACCGGGAAGCGGCCACAGGATACAGGACATGCAGCAGAGTTAGCTGTTGAACGCCAAACCACGATCACAAACGTTCACACTAAACAACGGTACACACACGATCACACAGTAGTGAGTGATGGTCGAACAGCTAACTCTGAACCACGGATGCTCATCAAACTAGGGAAAGAACGATGAAAACAAGCGCTCACACAGGACAAACAAACATCATTACTTGGTGTGAAACTGTCAATCACAGCATGACACAATTTGTTAACCATTGGTTTTTGAGTCGCCACAGATATGCTGGAGCTCACTGAGACACTTTAATTTAAGTTAATATCCCACATCAATAACAAACACTGGTCATGACTGACCACCAGAATCCAAATAGATCAGGTTTGCAATGAATAACTTCAATCAGACCCCCTCTCACCCGTAGAGGGGGAAGGAAAGAACTAGTGGGGATTAACAACTCACGTCCTGTTGTAAATCAAGGGAGAAGATCCAGGCCTGTGCTCTCCAAATTCACCAAAGCAATGTGCTTTGTCTCAACAGACCCTTTTCCCGCTGAAACTCTAACACTATTTTTAACGTGGGGAATGGTCAGAGGCGATCTATAGAACACTAATGTAATTTTGTTAGTTATTTTGTGTTGTCATTGAAAATGTTATAAAGGAAATATTGTAACTTGGAAAGTATACCCACTACATAGATGAAGTTTCCATACTATGGGTTGTGCATGTAATATGAAAAATGATGAAAGTGTTTTTGTTAAGAGAGGGATGTGATTTGAGAAGTTATAAGAGATAATCGTTTTTCATAACTTTGCACTGTGTGTTATCACCGCCCCGAAGTGAGGTCAGGAAGTGTGCCAGCCTGCCGGAACTGCCCCTTTCGAGCAAAAGGTATAAATTATGGGCTACGAATAAACAAATCAGACCAGAAAAGTGTGAAGCTGCAGCTGTGCGTTTAAAATGGTTTGAACTTTGAATCTCAACACGAGGTGTAGACGATAAACTCACCTCCTGGACAATCACTGGTACGGCTGATTAGCTGTCCAAAGTAAAGTATCTTCGAAAGCGAATTTAAGTAGGACCATCCTGTCACGACTTCCGCCGAGGCTGCCTCCCCTCCTGGTTCGGGCAGGCTTCGGCGTTCGTCGTCACCGGAGTACTAGCTACTGCCAATCCCATTCTCGTCACTCCACTTGTCATATCTTGTCAATCACACACACCTGGTGCTCATTCCCCTAATTAGTATGTGTATACGTGTTCCCTCTGTTCCCCTTGTCTTTGTGAGTGATTGTTTTGTTGTGAGAGCGTGTAGCTCGGTTGAGCTACATTTCACTGTGTTATTGCCAAGGGGGATGTTTTCCCTTGTACAGTTTCGTTTGACACTTGGGGCGTTTGATTTATGTAAACAGATTAAACTCTGGACTTCGGTTTTTTACCTCCTGTGCCTGACTCCTTCTTTCACACCTCGTCACAGAATCACTCACCTGATCTGATATGAAGTCAGCAGGAGAAGACTGCATGCCTGGAGTTGTGGCAAGGGTCCAGGAGCATTCCTCGATGTTGGCCAGCTTGGGGGAAGCGATGGATCGGGTTCTACAGGTGGTAGAACGCCTGGAGAGGAGAGGATCCGATCTATCGAGACCAGCTGGTCAACCGGATCCAGCCACCTACACCCCAGCCCCGGGAGGGATCCAGATATCCTGGCCACCGGCATTTGACGGGACTGCAGTGCGATGTAAGGGATTCCTACTCCAGCTGGAGTTGTATTTCTCCAGCATCAGACCGGAGCCCCGGGAGCGGGAGAAGGTATCCATCCTCATTTCCTGCCTATGTGGGAGAGCCCTGGAGTGGGCCAACGCGGTATGGAACGAGGGAGGTTCCACGTTGGAGAACTACGGGGAGTTTGTTCACCTCTTTCGGGCCGTTTTTGATCACCCGCCTGAGTGTCGAGAGGCGGGCGAACGACTGGTTCATCTAAGGCAGGGGATGAGGACAGCTCAGGACTACGCGCTGGAGTTCGCCCTGATAGACCATTTCCGGTGCCACCTAAGGGAGGACGTCCGACGGGAGCTAGCCTGCCGGGATGCCATGCTATCGTTCTCCCAACTGGTGGACATGGCCATCCGGCTGGAAAATCTGCCAGCAGCCAGAGGACGTCCTGGTAGGGGTCTGTCCGTTCCCACTCCGGACGACTCTGACCCCGAGCAGATGGAGCTGGGGGGAGCCGCCGGTCGAGAGAGCGCAGGAGGACAGCGACAGTGCTACTCTGGTGGCACGAAGGGACAATCCACCTCACATCGTAGTCAACGTTCTTTTGGGTCTGGAGGCGGTAGGCAGGGTACTCATGCATCACCCCAGGTAATGAACACCCAAATGTGTTCAGAGCCCTTTGCGGCGCACTGTACTTTATCTATCTCCTTTCCAGATCACTTGGTAGGTTCCCAGTGTAAGGCGCTAGTTGATTCAGGCGCAGCTGGGTGTCACGGATACAGCCGAGGCTGCCCCTCCTCCTTGCTCGGGCAGGCTTCGGCGTTCATCGTCACCGGAGTACTAGCTGCCACCGATCAATGTTTCTGTGTCACACTAGTCCTGTCTTTATTATTCACACCTGTTACTCATTAGGCTTATTGGTTTCCCTATATTACCTCTGTTTTCCCCCCTGGGTTTGTGCGTGATTGTTCTTTGTTACGTCGTCTGTTGAGCTGTTGTTTTGCTCTTCCCTGCGTGGAGGGTTTGTTATGGTTTACTTTGTGTTTAGTAAAGCCATACTTTTCTCAGTTCTGTGTCCTGCGCCTGATTCAGTTTCACCACTTCACCCAGACGCTGACAGAATCACGCACCATTATGGAGTCAGCAGGCACGTCCGGTCCCAGCGACTCGGTGCAGGAACGCATCCAACAGCACTCGACCATGCTGCAGAGACTAGGTTCGGCTATGGATCGAGTGATCAACACCATGGATCGATGGGAGAGAGTTGGGTTTTCTACACCTCCTCCTCCGAGTTCTCCTCCATCAAGACCATCAAACCCTGGGTCCAGTGGTATTCGGCTCTCGCTCCCGAGGGAATATGATGGGACAGCTGCCGGGTGTAAGGGTTTCCTGCTCCAGGTGGAGCTCTACCTGGAAACCATCCACCCGGCTCCCTCGGGATACGAGAGCGTGTCCGCCCTCATCTCCTGTCTGTCGGACAGAGCGCTGGAATGGGCCAACGCGGAGTGGGGTGGAATAGACGCTGAGTCCATTCATTTTGAGGAATTTACCCGCCGTTTCCGGGCAGTATTCTGTGAATGAGCAACTTCCCTCCTCCTTGGAGCCATGTAGCTAAGATTAACTTATCTTGTACTTCAGACACTTCCGTAAGCGCCGCAGCCGTCTCAGGAAACAAAGCACCAACGTTCAGAGTGGACTTTGCTTCTGATGATAAATTTTCCGCTTTGAGGGGGACTGAAACCCCCTACAATGCAACTAACGGCGTCAGTCCCGCCAATGACCCGGTGACTCCAACTGGTGAAACACTGTGCGATATCGCCGAAAGATATCCTCATCTCAGTTCGCAGGTACTGGAACGGTTGCCACATGCGGACGCCGTGGTGAATGGCAGGCCACGATAGCCACTAAGCGTTTTGAAGCACAAACACTAGGACATTTGGTTGAAAGGTTACAGCTAATCTACTAACAACACTGCTGCTGAGAACTCATACAAAGGGCACGATCTTTTCGTTTGTGCCTCGGACACCAACACCAACCGCTGGCCAGACTAGCCCAGACCCATGATGAGCCAAACAAATCTAGTTGTAACCTTCCCCACGAGAACAGAGAGGAGCGGACAAGCCCCTCGACGGGGATAACCTTAGAACACAACTGAGATATCACTGAGGTGTCCCACACTGGTCGTAAAAGAAGTCCAGTGGACTTTCCACCTCCCCCCCAAATGTTTTTTCTCCAGACAATAAGTATTCCTTGCCATGCGTAGCCTCAACTACAATGCAACTAGTAAAATGCTCTAATCATGTGTTCCGGTAGGATAACATTACGTAATCAATTGGTAGGGTAGCTAGTCCCCTTGAGTACCAATACTAATGCCAGCAACAGTCAGTCCAGCCACAGGCAGTAAGAAGGTTACATTTACATTTTACCTTTTAGTCATTTAGCAGACGCTCTTATCCAGAGCGACTTACAGTTAGTGAGTGGATACATTTTTCATACTTAGAGACCTAACAAGTTGAATTGCCCTTGATAACAGTGACAGATCAATCAATCAATCACATTTTATTTATAAAGCCCTTTTTACATCAGCAGATATCACAAAGTGCTGTACAGAAACCCAGCCTAAAATCCCAAACAGCAAGCAATGCAGATGTAGAAGCACGGTGGCTAGGAAAAACTCCCTAGAAAGGCAGAAACCTAGGAAGAAACCTAGAGAGGAACCAGGCTCTGAGGGGAGGCCAGTCCCCTTCTGGCTGTGCTGGGTGGAGATTATAACAGTACATGGCCATTAAGACAATATTTTTCTCCAAGATGTTCAAACGTTCATAGATGACCAGCAGGGTCAAATAATAATCACAGTGATTGTAGAGGTTGCAACAGGTCAGTACTTCAGGAGTAAATGTCACTTGGATTTTCAAGAGGTTGAAATAGCAGGTGCGGTAGAGAGAGAGAGTTGAAAACAGCAGGTCTGGGACAAGATAGCACGTCCGGTGAACAGGTCAGGGTTCCATAGCCGCAGGCAGAAGAGTGGAAACTGGAGCAGCAACATGACCAGGTGGACTGGGGACAGCAAGGAGTCATCAGACCAGGTAGTCCTGAGGCATGGTCCTAGGGCTCAGGTCCTCCGGGATGGGAGGGAGAGAGGGAGAGAGAGAGAGAATTAGAGGGTTCATACTTAAATTCACACAGGACACCGGATAAGACAGGAGAATAACACCAGATATAACAAACTGACCCTAGCCCCCCGGCACACACAGTGAGGGAATTAAG